TAAATATTACATATATCGTTTTAATTAAATGATTAATTAAACAAATGTTTAATTTTATTTTTTAATGACAATTAATATTAAAAAATATTTTTATTTTGTATTCTTAAGATACAAGAATCCATTTTGATACTTAAATAAAGTAATAAGTGAGATTTTTTTGAAGTTATCAAAATTTACTTGGTTTAACGTGTGAAATTTGTTATAAAATAGAATAATGATAAAAGAGGTGAATTTTATAAGATTAAAATTTAAAATAAATAATATAATAAGAATTGTCTTGTTTAAAAATTTAAAAAATAAATTTATATTATTTAATAATTAATTTTTTATTAAAATTATAATATTATATATTTTAATTTATTAAATAATATAATTTGTATCATATTATTTATTTTAAATTTTAATCTTAAATTTTCACCAACGACTTAAGTAATTTAGTAGTTATCTCATTCTATTGAAAATAAGAGATTTTGATTTTAAATCACATAACATATAAATAAAGTGAAATAAAAAATAAGAGATAATTGATTTTCATTGTAAAATTAAAACAAAAAAAAGATCTTAAATTTCCGTGTTATATATCACTACCCTGTTTAATGAGAAAACACAGCTAATATCATACTACGTGGTGTCCATGAGTGGACGGACAAATGCTACTTTTCTTTCTCTAACAAATTGTCATTTCTCATTTCTCATTTCTCATTTCCATGAAAGGTCAATTGTTATGGCCATGTTATACGGTTAATGTCCTTGCTTAAACCGTCCAGCACCTCAGGACCTCATATATCTTGATGCTTTGACTATGTGACATGACACGGGGCTCATTCCTAATAATTTCTAGCCTCCCAATCCACACTTTTACTTCAAAAGTGTCTATCCTCCATTGGTCCACATATACAATTTTTTTTTTACACGTAAATCCTTTAAATCTACTCTTTAAATAAGAGAATAAAAACAAATTTATCTTTGAAAAATATAAGAATAAATTATTTTTTAAAATTATTAATTAAAATAAATTATTTACAATTTAACATATAATATAATTATACGTTAATTTTTTATTAAAAACATTTACATAATAAATAAATCTTTAATAAATGATAACATCACATGTTAAATAATAAATAATTTTTTTAATTAATAACTTGAAATGATAATTTATTTTTATTTTTTTAAAGGCAAATTCATTTCTACCCTTATTTCAGAACGTATTTTGGAATATGCCTTTTGTATAAAAGTGGGTAGAAAGTAACAACGCAAAGCAAAGGGTTTATTTTATTTTATTATTTTTTAATAATTAAATATCTTTAAATTAATATATACATATTTTAAAATTATTTTTAATTTAATATTATTTATGTTAAAATTAAAAAATTTATAAAAAATTTTTTTTTTATTAAATTTTCTAAATAATCAAATTTAATCAATAAAATAAAAACTAAACTTTTTTTTTTTAATTAAGTTATAACTCTTTAAATAAAAAGATAAAAAGTAAAGAGTTTATTACTACAAATTAGTAGTATTTTCACTATTTTGTCATTCATAGCTGCCGTTGCACTGGATTCACAACTTGTGGAAGTCAAGCCATTAATCATTAACCATTACATAAAACTATTAGAGAAAATTGATGTGAAACTATATAAATAAGATATTTTATAATTATTATTTAGGAATAGATTCTTTAATATTGAAATAATTTTTTATTAATAATTATAAAATATATAATTTATACATAATAGATAGTAAAATTACAAACTATAATTATTATTTCTTATGTGTCTACGCTCACGCAATGGATATTATTGAAAGAAAGATATCGTTCATAAAAAAAAAAAAAAGGATGATATCAAGAGGAAAAATAATTTAAATAGAATGAAAATAATGACAAAATTCGAGAAATCCATTAATGTTAGAACGAGCAATCCCAATCATTAAAAATATAAAATGTAAAATTTAGTTTGCGTTTCACCTATATCTCATTAATCTGGTGACTAAAATCATCCACCATAACATTTTTTATAGTTTAAACATATGGTTTTCAAAATAATAATGACAATTATTTTTACATGTGTAAACATATCCCCATTCCTCACTCTACTTACACAAAATAAAAAAAATATTTGATATGTTTTTTTCTTGAGTCTTTTGATAAGATGTATTTTATATGTTTTAGCTTATTATTTTAGCTATTATTTTGTTGCCATTTGAATAGATATGATTTTTAGTACATTTTATATAATTTTTATTTTTTTTGTGCAAAAAAAAAGAGCTTGAATGCATAATAATAAGGGTTTCTAGGATTAATTGAATATCTTTTGCAAGTTGAGGGAATGAAGTGCGAGAAGAAAGGTTCATTTTGGGGACCTAAATATTAATTTTATTTGTTTTTAAATTTTGGTATATCATGTTAGGAACTCTTTTTATATTTATAATAAGATATTTGATTTTCTTTTCTTTAATTAAGAACTAATTTAACCATTATGATTTAACTTGGTCAATTTAATATAAAAATTTATGATTTTTATACTTTTAAGATTTAGTATTTTATATAGAGTATATATTATTGTTCTTAATATTTTGTAACGATTGATCACTATTAAAATTAATTTGGAGAGCATAATTGATATTGAGATGGGATTTTATGTAATAACTTTTATTAACATATATCATGATTTAAATGAAAGTCAAAGATGAACTGATGTAATTGTGTAGCATTAGTAAACTAGAGAATTTTACAAAATATAATACATTTTTATTTATTTAAATTTACATAAAAATATAATAGGTTAATAAGTGAAAGTAAATTTAATATAACTTAAGAAAATATATCAAATAACATAAAAAATCTTGCTATCACATAAGAAATCTTGTTATCACATGAGTCGTAAAGACTTTAAAAGTATTTTAATATAAATTTTATATTATTTGATTATACTAAAATTAAATATCTTAGAATTTCAACTCTTAATATAACTTAAAGTCAATTTAGTTTTTTAAATTAATTTAGTTAATTAGTTCACTTAAATAATTTATTTTCAATTGTTAAAATAAAATTAAAATTAATTAATTTTAATACTTAATTAGTCCTCAATTTTTGTGATGATATTTATTTTTATCATTATATTTTTTGAATTAACTAATACGCTTATTAGAATAAAATTAGTTCATCGTCTTCTGTTTTGAAATTTGGATTATAATTGTAAAATAAAAATTATTTGATAAAAAAATAGCCTATAAATTTATTTTTATTTAATAATTTAAAATATATAGTACAAATCGCAAGATTTATTTTTATTTTCAAAATCTTATTTTACAATCTAGATTAATCTAAATGATAAAACAAAAATCATTTAATGAAAAAAAAGAACCTCATAATATTAAAGAACCCAACCTTCCATCAAATAGTTAGTGTTTATGGTTCTAAATTTCAAATCAATATGAAGTGTAAAACACTTTATTTTTTCTTCTCTCTTTCTTTTTCTTGATGACCGTTTCTCAAAATCTAAGTAAAGAAAACTTAAAAAAAAAAAATACTTATTCTTTTCTTATCTTAAAAAGAAAAAAGAAATAATACTTATAGTGTAGTGTCGACTAAATAATCAAATATCATCATAAGATCTAACTGCCCACTCCCATTAAGAAAACGCGTCTGCTTTTTTTATTTCACATATTTCTCTTTCTTTCATTCATTCTCCTCTGCAACACCTTCTCTTATAATTCCATGCTCTCTATATAAACACTACCCCACTCCAACTATTGAACCTAAACCCACCCTACTTCATCTCATGGCTCTTCTTTTTCACTTCTTCCTCCTCTTCTTCTCTCTCTCCACCAGTTCCGGAGAGAAAACGCCAAACACTAGTGCAATTTCCTTCTCATTTCCCCTCCGTCTCTCCCCTCACCCTCCTTTGGCAACTAATTTATACCCTTCTTTTGTTTCCCGCATTAAGCAAAACCCAGGAACCAGACCATCGAGTTCTTATGGTTTCAGGTCAACCTTTAAATATTCAATGGCTCTGATCGTCTCGCTCCCGATTGGAACCCCACCTCAGACCCAGCAGATGGTTTTGGATACTGGAAGCCAGCTCTCCTGGATTCAGTGCGACAAGAAGGTGGCCAGGAAGCCGCGTCCGCCGACTTCTGCTGCTTTCTACCCTTCGCTTTCCTCTTCTTTCTCCGTTCTTCCATGTGCACATCCCGTATGTAAGCCCCGGATTCCCGATTTTACCCTCCCGACTACCTGTGACCAAAACCGCCTCTGCCACTATTCCTACTTCTACGCAGACGGTACATTGGCCGAGGGCAATCTCGTCAGAGAAAAAATCACATTTTCAAGGTCCCGAATTACCCCTCCCCTGATTCTCGGTTGCGCTAAGGACTCCGACGCCGGCAAGGGCATTTTGGGAATGAATCTTGGACGGTTGTCTTTCGCCAGCCAAGCTAAAATTTCCAAGTTCTCATATTGCGTGCCCACCCGCTCTACCAGATCAGGATCCACACCGACCGGGTCATTTTATCTCGGAGAAAACCCGAACATATCCGGGTTCCGGTACATGGACCTTTTGACTTTCCCTCAAAGTCAACGAATGCCGAATATGGATCCACTGGCTTACACCGTTCCGATGCACGGAATCAGAATCGGCGGTAGGAGGCTGAACATCTCGGCTGCAGCTTTCAGACCCGATGCAGGCGGGTCGGGTCAAACCATGATTGACTCCGGCTCCGAATTCACATACTTGGTAGACGAGGCGTATAATAAAGTAAGGGCGGAAATAGTTAGACTAGCGGGGCCCAAATTAAAGAAGGGCTACGTGTACGGTGGAGTGGCCGACATGTGTTTTGATGGTGATGCGGTGGAGATCGGACGGTTGATAGGGGACATGGTGATGGAGTTTGAGAAAGGGGTGGAGATTGTGGTTCAAAAGGAACATGTTTTGGCTGACGTGGGAGGTGGGGTCCATTGCGTTGGGATCGGACGGTCAGGAATGCTTGGGATTGCAAGCAATATAATTGGCAACGTTCATCAGCAAAATCTATGGGTGGAGTATGATCTGGCCAATAGGAGGGTAGGATTTGGTAAAGCCGATTGTAGCAAAGCAGTGTGAGACTGAATCAGCAGGCAAATGCCACGTGGGAAATGGAATTATGTTGTAAATTATATTTTGAAATGTTAGGAAAGTTTGAACCGTAACTTTTAAGTCTCGTGTATATAAAAAAGAATGAAAATATAGATACATATCTTAGTAATTTTTTCTCCTTCTATTTAAAGCGTTGATGAAAATTGAAATCCTAATCAACAAATCTAAATGCTTTAATGTTTGAGACGAATCATTAATCCAAATGTCCAATTTGATTTTTTCCCCCTCTTTTTGGTTTGAGAAAATTGAGAAAACATCATTTAATATGAATATAAATAAGAATTTTTTTTTTTGAACTCGGTTTTTAGGTCTAATGGTTCAACCTCAAGTCTTAAGTGTTTGGGTGAAATGATCGGAGTTTCGAGCTCTAACACTGTCGTAAATTCCACAAAAAAGCAACCTGATGGCCATGCACCTCATTTGAGAGGGTGGAATGTTTACCCGGTTTGGGAATCGAATTTCCAATTGCTAACAACTAATTCATACTAACTTCTTAATCATTACCCTTGTAAAAAAAAAAATAAAAGATTTTTTAATCTTGTTTCTTAGAGCATAGGTTAAAATTGTAATTAACATATTTTTTATAATTAATTTTCATTGAAATTATAAATTTTAATTTTAATTTAATTAATTAATCAATTAAAATCATTCACATATCAATAATATTATAATAAATATCAACTTTTATAGTTTTTATGTGAATTAATTATAAAAAATATATTTATTATATATTTAATTTATGTTATAAAGACAGATAAGTTAGACAAACCTTATAAATAAATTAAAATGAAAAATAAAAGAAATTTTCCTAAATAGAAAAAAAAAAAAAAAAATCTTGCAGCTTATTTAACACAGAATTGTAAAAGATGAGTCTTGTAATTAATGAGATTCACATGAGACTGGGAACTAATTGCATTGATCACGAGGTTGTTGTAATATTCACAATCTGTTAAAGCAAACTGAAAAAACATTAATATCTTAATAATTGTTAAGGACCTACATATATACGTACAAAAAAGACTTTTCCTGTTGGGATTGGTTAATTCATGAACGAACCTGGTGGTGAAGATTTTGAGGAGGAAGGGGGCGGGGTCTAGTTTTAGTTTGATGCAAGCCTAGTAGACGACAGCTTATTCCAAGTCTAGCTTTGTTAGTTGAGATTTGTATTAACACATCCCCGACAGTTGTATTATTGAAAATGTTGATTTGTCTTAGTTTTTACTACTTTTCACTGTTTAACTAGTTAATGTGGCCTGATCTATCATTAAATCAAGCTAATATATTTCACTTTCAATCTCACTTTCACAGGGAGTGTTTAATCTTGGAAGTTGGTGGTTATTGTTGCTGTCAACAAATAGTCGACTAAAGTCATTTTTACATGAAGCTAGGATTTTGGGAGAGG